TTTTTTTTTTTTTTAATGGAAACATCGAAAGAGATATTAACGACGACGTTTTTATTTGTACTGTTGAAAAATATCGAGATAATCTTAGGGAAGGAAAGGAAAGGAAAGGAATTATCTTGATTTCTCGCCTCGACGCTCGTAAAAATGTGCGGCGAACGGAGGCCTTTCTCGCTTTTCTCGTCTCCCTTTCCCTCTTTATCGCGGTCGATTTGCGTACGCGACGTTAAATCGTCTTGCATCGCGATAGTGCGATCGCGCTGCAAGGGAAGGAAGAAACGGAAACAAAGAGAGAGAATTCAAGCGTGTTCGAGCGTCTCGCTAAGCTGGCAAACGGACTAAGCAGGCAGACAGGCAGGCTGGTAGACGGGCAGAAGCGTGCCTACATAGGGTGGACGGCCCTTTGTTCGAATTGCCCCCTTTCCTTTTCCTCTACAGCCGATTCTCCCTTGTAGACGGACCATCCGATACGCCTGTTCTTCCTCCTCCGCCCCCTTTTAACATCTACACCCTCCTAACTAACGCGCGTTGTGTACGAATGGGTCATGAGATGCACAATGGTGGGGTCTGAAATTCGATAGCGCAATAACGCTGCTTCTAATATGGGGTACCGAATGTGATCGTTAAACATCCCCCTCCATAAAACACACTGGAAGGATACCCCTGGGGTATCCTCGATTCTTATCCGGTAGCGCGATCGCCATGACAAATTGAATTTCGGATTGCAGGGATGATAGACTTTCTCTCTTTCCCCCTCTCTTCCTCTTTCTCTCTTGTTGTGCAGGATTCGTTATACGGAAGAGAAACGGTCGTTTCTTCCGTTGTTAATCTTTTCATTTTTTTCTGCTTGCAGTCAACGCGGGAGGCTTAGACTTCACTATCGAACCGCAGGATGTGGTGGTGGAACAGGGTGGTTCTGCGAGACTGGACTGCGAGGCGAAGAGCGCCTTTGGAATGCCAAATATACATTGGCGTACGGACGACGGTCAGCCGATCACGTTTATCGGGGATAGTTATCGGTAATCCGCGCGATAAATCTTTTAGAAGATATTTCCTGTTGATGCCCTTGCGCCTCATTCTGATCTGAACTTCCTGATTTTGTTTTTCTAGATCACAGCTAGCAAACGGGTCCTTGTATATAAATAGTGTGTACTCTGGTAGCGCAGAATTAACCGGAAGTTATCAGTGCTTAGCTTCCATAGACAATGTCGGAGCGATTGTCTCTCGGACAGCTACAATTAAACTAGCAAGTTAGTATCTAGATCCAAATTATGACATGTAACGCTTGCACGAAGATGCCTTGAAAATAAAAATTATGATTGCACGCTCGTTTACGCGAAAACAGCCATGTTAAAATAATTCCTTAGAATTTTAATCAGCTTATGAGACATATATGTTTATATATGTATATTGATTTTCTTTAAAGGTCTCCCTGGGTTTGAAAGAGAACCTCAAGATACCATGGTTTATGCAGGACAAATTGCATATTTGAGTTGTGCGCTACCAGCTTCCTCGAGTTTGTTAAAAATACAGTGGTTAAAGGACGAACATCCTTTAATACTCGATGAAAGTCGAATGACAATTCTACCATCAGGTATAAAGGATATCTATGGTTTTTAATTAAGATATTTTCTAGTATAGCAACTATCATTATCGATACAATTTCTCTCCTCGATTTTCTCACAGGCGCATTGGAAATCGACGACGTTCAATATCGTGATGTAGGATCGTACAGATGTAACGCTAGCGGTTACGGCCAATATAGACTGAGCAACAAAGCACAATTAGGATTATTATCTAGTGACATCGGTAAGTTTGATCACCGAATAATCAACAAGATACAATTCATCAATAGAGATACAATCGAATTTACGAATATTTTATCGATCATATAGATGAGGGATCTAGCGCTCCAGTATTCATCGCACAACCTTTACAACAAGTAGTCATCGAAGGTTCCGACGTGACTCTGGAATGCGCTGCCAACGGTTATCCGAAACCGACGATTCTTTGGCTTAAAGACGGTGTTGCTCTCGATTTGACGTCACTCGATTCTAGGTATGTTAAATAATTTGGAATGTTAAGAGACACGAATGTATGTTACATTTATGATAAATAATATTTTCTTTAAGATATCGCGAGGTCGCAGCTTCTAGTCTCAAGATTATGAATGTCAAAGAATCGGATCACGGTTCATATCAGTGTCGCGCGGAAAATATGGTCGACTCTCTAGACGCGGTTGCTGAATTAATCGTACAAGGTACATATATTTCGACTCACATGAGATTTTAATTGTCATCATGTTTCGTAACATTAGGACGCATGTTTCAATTTAATTTGATCCTCAGTTCCACCAAAGTTTATAAAAAAGCCAGAGGATAAAGTGGCAAGTGAGAGTCAAGATTTAGAATTTGAATGCGAGATCTATGGAAAACCCGAACCAAAAATTACCTGGCTAAAAAATGGCGAGCGTATCACATTAAGCGCATATTGGCAAATTGTCAATGGGTATGTATTTACAGAATCTTTTTATTTTATCTAAAAAAAATTTTGTACAAAATTGTGTTTAATAAAATATTATTTTAAAACTTGCAATTTTTCTATTTCTAGATACAACCTGAGAATCAATGGACTGTTACCTATAGATGCAGGAATTTTCCAATGTACGGGATCAAATCCTGCTGGTAGCGTTCAAGCCTCAGCACGTCTTACAATTAACCAACCTAGTGAGTTTTACAGCATAGAATATAGATAAACTCTTAAAATAAATTTATTTTTTAACACTTTTATTAACATTTGTCAGTTAATAATTTTGAAATTTATTTTATTTCTTTATAATTATCTCATATGTATTTCTTTCTATGTATATTATATATATATATATATATATATATATATATATATATAACTTACTTATTTATTTTATTTAAATTTATTTAATTTAATCTTATTTTTCTCTCCCTACTGTCCTTGTTAACTGTCTGCATGCTAATATCACATATGCAGAGAGAATGAATTCCCATAGAACGACAACTCCCAAGACAGCTCCTAAGAAAAAACTGTTATTGCATCGACAGTTGTATAATAAGACGTGGCAACATCCGAGTACTCTTCTAGGACACACGTTCTCTATGCCAAATCCTCCACTTTCAATAAGTCCCTCCGACGATCCCGCGGATCTCTTGCCGAGCTCGTTTAAATATCCTAATTCCCTTTACGATCCAGATTCCCATTTTGTAGATGATACGGATACTCTGGAAGCATTTGATGGAGGTGGCGTACCCTCTCCACCGAGAAACCTGAGTCTCGTCATCGGTACTGCGAGATTTGTAACACTACGCTGGCAAGAGCCAGAAAACGCAAACAGCGAGACTCTCAATTATTTCATACATTATAAACAGGAGGGAGCCATGAGGTAATTATCCTGGAAATAAATGCGGATGAGAGTGAAATGACTAATGGTTATCTATATAGGGAGAGAGTTGTCAACACGCAACAAAAACTGGAGGCTATGATACGTGGTTTACAACCTAATATGAAATATCAATTCCATGTAGTCGCGCAAAATTCTCGAGGAACTAGTGCTTCTAGTAACGTGTTGCAAGTTACGACGTTAATAGAGGCCAATGTTCCTGGACCTCCGATAAATCTGGAAGGTCATGCGACAAGTAGCATGAGTATTACCTTATCGTGGGAGGAACCACAAGTTATTAATGGTCGAATATCTAAATATATTATTACATTTATGAAGGTATATAAGCTTTTTTTGCAAATAGTTGACATTGATTAATAATATTAAATATCGATGGTTACATTTAATGCTTTTTTTTTGTTACATTCTTAGGACGACAGTGAAGATGAAATACGTGAAACTACTAGTACAACGTATGAATTGGTAGATCTCGTGCCTTATACGGAATACAGTATTAGAGTTCAAGCGGTCAACGAGAATGGCGCGGGCGCGTTTAGTAAAGATATTGTGATTCGAACTCACAGCGCACAACCGACCCAACCACCGCACAATGTTACCTTAGAAGCAGCTAGTTCAACGGTAATATCGTCTGAATCTCCATTATAAATAATTTAAATCAATAATTTTCTCAAAGAATCTTACTTTTATTACAATGTTTGATAAAACATTTCTAGAGTATTATCATAAGATGGGAACCTCCACTCGAGGGACAGAATGGGATTATCACGGGTTATAGAATACGCTATCGTAGATATCCGCACGATTCCCGATCTGGAGATCGACGATCCCCAATCACGGTGACAACTGAAGGAAATCAACGTTTATACGTGCTCAATGGCCTCGAAAAGCACGTTGTGTACCAAGTCCGCATATGTGCCTTCAATGTCAATGGAACTGGGCCTTGGACGGAATGGACGAAGATAGAAACATATGAGAACGATTTGGACGAAACGAAAGTACCTAATGCACCCAGTAATCTGAGAGGTAAGAAGTCGTGTATGAAATATAAAATGACGTTTTAAATGTTGATTTATTACAAAATATCTTTGTGTGCACAGCGAATGCTATGGCGGATTCTATACTAGTATCATGGCATCCCCCGAAAGATCAGAGCATCAAGGTGAGGAAATATAAATTAGGTTGGGGCAAAGGTTATCCCGATGTCGAAATTCAAGTTCTTGATGGGAAACAACGATCTTATGCCATCAAGCCTATAGGTAAAAAGAATATGATGAATCGTTCTATCTTGAATAGAAAAGAATCAAAATATTTTTAATTTGATTTTTGTTAATCCTATGCTCTTTTATTGTGATCTTTTAGAACCAACTACGGAGTACGTAATATCTTTAAGAGCAACGAATAACGTTGGTGATGGTCAACCAGCATACGCGAATGTAAGAACTCCCGAACGTTTTGTAACTGAATCTGCAGTGCCTTTAATACCACCTGTTGGCCTTAAAGCTATTGTGCTCTCGGCTACTACTGTTGTATTATATTGGACAGACACAACCTTATCGAAAAGTCAAGTACGTAGATAAAATCACACTATATTATAAAACCTCATAAAAAGTGGCGCATGTAAAGAAAAGGTCAGGCAGAAATATCTGTAGCAAGAACATTTATTTTTAGTATATCACCGATAGTCGATACTACGTGGTGCGTTATACGTCCTATCATCACAGCAGCAGTCCAAGATACAAATATTACAATGCTACTGATCTTAACTGTATGATTCATGACTTAAAACCCAACACACAATACGAATTTACAGTTAAATTGGTCAAGGTATGAGACACACATACGGATTACATTTGAGTAAAATAGATCAATGCGCTATAGCATAATTTTCACAGGGTAAACGAAGCTCGCCATGGAGTATGGTCGTTTTAAATCAAACACAAGAGGCTGCACCTAGCACGGCACCTCGGGATCTGGTTATTCAAACCGTCGAAGATCGTCCAACTTCTGTTTTATTGCATTGGCAACCGCCTAAACAACCCAATGGACAAATTACAGGTTAGTGATTATTCTAAATATAAAGACTAGAATATGTTTATAAAGTTATATTGATTTTTTTAGGATATCTTATAATTTATTCTACCGACAATACAAAATGGGATCGCGACTGGTTAGTCGAAGGTGTTATCGGCGATAAAGTGGACGCTATCGTAAAAGGTCTACATCCTAACACGATGTATTATTTTAAGATCCAAGCCCGCAATTCTAAAGGATACGGACCATTCTCCACGACAGTTTCATTTAAAACTCCACCAAGTAAATAATAATTTTTTATTTATCTATATCGATATTAATTGATGTTAAATTTGATCATTATGTATGTATAATATAAATGTATGTATAATATACACATTTATATGATAATATATTTTTATTTAACTGTATGAATGCATAATATATTTTATTTGCACATATGTTATTTTTACATGTTGTATGTTGCTTGTTGTATTCTAATGTCTGTGCACGAAACAGTGTTAATTTATTATATTTATTTTTTTATTTCTATGGTAGGCAATGGCATGGATGAATTGCATGATCAAGGTAAGATATTATTCACAACTCTTTCTTTAGTATCCTAATTATGCATGTTTTGTTTAGTATAAGCATGTTTTATCGTGTCAAAACTTGTAACTAAATCTTTTTAAATATGAAATAAAAAATAATCTGTACATTTTTTCGACGAGAAAAAATATAGGATGACATTTACATTAGTCATCTAACACAATTGTTTTTTTTTTCAGATGGACGAAGTTTTTCTAATCTATTGATTTACATCATAGTGGGGCTGTCAATTCTCTTTATTACTGGTATATCTGTAGTCGTTGTAATATGCTGTAAACGTAATCCAAGTTCATCAGATCGAAAGAAAGGGTATATTTTAATCAAGTTATATGTTGATATTTTTAATTTTAAGACGTCATATATCAATAAAATACATGTTTTTCCAGATATATGAAAGATTCGAATCAGAAGACGAATATTAAGCCACCGGATTTATGGATTCATCACGATCAAATGGAGCTAAAAGCTCTCGAGAAATCGTCATTGAATGGCGAAGCCTCTACTAGTGGCGTTACTAGTAATACATTACCGAGATCAGGCAATACAGAATATAATCAAGATAATATACACGGGAATTCCAGTTCGCTGGATAAACGTACTTATGTGCCAAGTTATATGGGTAAGATATATAATTTCACGGGAGATATGCAACTGCACAAACATCACCGGAAATATTTCAATCACATCGCAAAACTAACATCAATTGTTTGGTTGATTTGTGTAAGGAAGATTGTGGCATAGCTTCTTTGTTACAACATTATTTTGATAATTTTACTTATAAATTAATATTTCAGTTAGTACAATACACTAACAAAGAAGGGAGACAAGCATTCGTTTGATTTGCAGTTTTCTTAATTTTGTTATTCGGTTGCTTTTTACTTATTTCCTATTAGGTAACACTGACGAGAAGTGCTCAACCCTGAGCAGGCAGCACAGTCGTGGAAGTCACAAACCTAAACTAATTACACTTCCTCCCGTTGAAAGTACACCTTTGCATCAGCGTAAGTAGTAGTAGGATTGTCATTCATAACATTGCACAATGTCTATAGTGATATGGTATGCTTTTACAGTGGGCGCGGTCAAATCATTCATAATATTGTTTCACAATAAAGTAAACGTACCCAGGCATAAATCGTTCAATATCAGCAATCAATGTGGATATCAAAGTTTTTAACTTGTTGCAGCTATAGCCACAGCTACGCCGATTGTCAACACTAGCATGTCGCAGCCGACCATCCACACTTCGTGTAGTGATACGTCATCAGTAAGACAGAACTATCCGCGAACTGTCGCGCAATATAGTTTAAATCGAGCGCATGTCACGTTAGAGCCAACCCCGGAATCCAGCCCGGATTCCTGTAATATGCCTAGCTCGTACGAGCCATTGCAAAGTCAGGTAAAGTTTCAAATTTGTAAACAATTTTTTCGATACGTATAGTAAGAATTGCTTAGCAAATCTCTTATTTCTCTAGTTATCATATGGCACGAGTGGACAGTCGTACAGTGGAAACACTCAATATGCCCCTGGTTACGGCAACAATACTCAACCAATGAACAATACCGTTGGGATAGAAAACAACAGTAGTAAACGATTGCAAGGACATCCCCTTAAAAGCTTCAGTGTGCCAGCTCCTCCACCACAGAGTGCTCCATCGACACCGGCACAACAGAAGCATGGTGGTTCGTGTCATTAATTTACAATTTCTTAAAAAATTTACAATTTATTAAAAAATTTCTGATATCAAAATTCTGATATCAAAGTATTGGGTAGAAAATGATCACAAGAATTAATCATCTTTTTCCTTCAAATTTACAGTGTCACAAGTGACAGTAAGACCAACAATGTCTGGAAGTCCGTACAAGAAAGCACAAGGCTCGTCCTCGCAATTAACTAAGAATCGCTTAGCCTCAGTGTCAAATCCGACACATACTTCGGAAGAAGTTGAACGATTAAAGGTAAAAAGATCTATCATACACATATATGTTAGATATATATGTGTTGATTCAAAATACAATTCATTTTGGTCGCAGTTATCACTTTGTTTTTTTACGTTTCACGTTGTGTTTTATTGAGTTTAATTATGGTTACAGCCTTCGTATAGCACCGAGGAATTGAATCAAGAAATGGCCAATTTAGAGGGTCTTATGAAAGATCTGAATGCCATAACAGCATCGGAATTTGAATGCTAAAGTAGGTTCCTAAGGCTTGTGCCATCCTAATTGATGGATAGACTGCAACACCATATTCTCAATGTTAGTACCTGAGAGATGAGTTAATTGTCATTTATCAAGATATTCTCTAATAAATTTATGTTGATTATTATCAAGATTAATAACGAAAACGAATATATGATTAATTAGCGTTGATGAACGACGCAATTAATGCATGGTCCAAATGTTGGATTTAACAATGTAATTGAAACATAGGATCGACGGTTCGCACAAAATCGTTTAATTTATCGACGTTTTCTCTCTCCGGTACTAGCGTTATTCATCTTGAGTGTAAAACTCAATATTTGTACTTGCCAATATACAGGGTGTGTAAAAATCTGAAAACAAAATAACTTTTAAAGGATTTAAAGGATTGAAATTTATAGAGATCATAAAATCTATTATTTAACCTCGGAAACCCTACCTTAACATCTCCCAAACAATCCAGACGGGGGGAGGAGGAGGGAAGGATCGGAAAACGTTAAATAGCATGTGAAGTCGAGTGAACATTCATTTGAAAGGATTTTAATTCTGCGAAAAAAATCGTAGAGATCTCGAACACATTGCATTCTCGTTTTGGAAAGCTCTTCAAACGAACTCTTCTCGACCTATACGCTATTTAAAATTTTCCAGTCCCCATCTCCCCACGCTTTCCGGAGGTGTTACGGTGTGTGCGTGTGCGTGTGTGCTTGCTTGCATTTATACCTGGGGAGAAAGAAGTGCCTTCAACTCGACCACCGAGTTATATAGCACAGATCCTCTTTCTTCTTTTTAATTTCTCTCTGTTAACTTTTTTGCTTGTTTCCCTCTATATTTAATCCCTTTGTGTAATTAAACACTGTATTCTCTTTTAATCCATATATAAGTTTTCATAAGAAACTCTCAAAAATTGTGAAACAATATATGGGCCGAAAGCCAGGTTTGAATTTGCTATCCTTCGATCATGAGTCGATCGCGTTAAGCACTGAGCCACGCGTCGCTCCCCTCCTCCCCCAGGTGTTAAGGTGGTTTCCGAGGTTGAATAATAGGTTTTATGATCCCATTGTATTTCTATCTTATACTTCGAATTCTTCAAAAATTATTTTAGCATTTCCAGACTTTTGGCACACTCTGTATAATCCGATCACGTCACGGTCTTGCGGCGTATTTTTGATAACGCGAGCAGGCAAGTATTGTGTCGCGATCGACCACGAGAAAGCTCGATGAATGCTTTTTATATTATAGACGTATGCAATGTAAATGTGCTGAACGCGTATACCAATTGTGACATAAATTATACAACGACATGGTCGATTTCGGCGTGTTTTCTACAATGTGTGAAAGTCAATGTACAATAATGTAGTTGAATAGTGCGAGCAAGAAACGTTGCGATGTTTTTTTTTTACGTCATTTTTTTTGTCGTTTACATGAAAGTCTAAGGTGAATTGACACCTTTTGAGAATGCTTTTACACGCGTTGATCCGAGCGTTCTTGCCTAAAGGGAGAAGAAGAGAATCATCTTGTAGTCCCGGCGAAAAGCTCATGCGTCGCTCGTCACTGTTCGTATAATTATATTCTTCGTCGATTCGCTAATGATGCCATATTTACGCTTAAAAAGATGAAGCACGCGTGAGCCGATAGCCGTCAAGTAATTTACGGTATTTTAGACACTAAATGGAAGATAGAAATATACTTCTTCTATTTTTGTATCTATCAAAATGAGTTTGTGATAAGCTGTACTGCATGTTCTTACATTCAAAAGTTTTTGGCAAAACTTATATTTTTGTTTCCACGATATCAGTTTGTTTAAAAACGGCGGTACATTATATTTATCATGGATGAATTTTTCGCGACGTAAGCGTTTTATATTTTAAGAACTATAAGATTTCTACGACTTGTTTCAGACGGCCTTTTCGTAAAATGCTTAATGTTAAGTAGCTCTGTGCGTGTGTACTCAATCTCCTCGGCAGCTCGGCAGCATTTATAGAAAGTTTCATGTGCGTATCTTTTGTTGGAGCAACCATCTAGTATATATTACGATCTCATCGGAAAATTATTATTTAGAGTTAAAGAATTATCGATTATGGATATATTACATGATAAATTGTTTAGCATAATAAAGTCCGGTAATGATCGGTTCTTCTTGTAGATTGGTCGCGAAAGACATATGAGATTCCTATGCTGAAATTTTCGTGATTTCGCGGGATTTAGCAACACGATACAATCCAAATATACTTAAAAAATGGATATAGTTTTTCGTGAATGGTAAAAGATTGCGTTATTTGACGAATACGATTTGTTTGAATAAAAATCAGTTTCATTCTTTTTCTCATGTCGCTCTTGCGAATTAAAATATTATAGATAAAAAAAATAATATACTAATATTTTTAATGGGATATACATACTTGGTATGAATGAGTATTTTACTCGGATACACTCGGATACACAGTTTTTAGAAAAAGTTTTATAAACTCATAACGCAATGCTCAATATTTACCGGGAATTGTCGAGATATACATATGTCCATATTTCTATCCAAGACACATTTTATATAATGACTATTTACTGCCAATTCATTAATGCATATCTGTCAAAGTACATACGTACGTACATATATACGTTTCCTTCCAATTACTAAAGACTCTATCCAATAAAACATTAATGACATAAACGCGGGAGCGTGTTCGAATTATATTATTTATTATGTCCGAATTATATAATTCGGATCAATAAATACAACGATCATCATTACACGTTGCTGCGAGGTATAATAATGCTTATAAAGTTTCGAATTATACTCGACCATTTTTGAAACATTTTTATATTTTCATAGCATTTGAGATATTGTACAAAGATTTTGTATATTATAAAAATATTGTTACACAACGCGAATTAGAAAGAATTTGAATAATATATAAATCAAGCTCGTTTCTTTTTACTTCAAGCCAAAACTGAACGTTGAAAACAAACGTGTTAAATTGTAAGCTATAAAAGCGTTATTCAAATTGTCAAAGAATAATTGAGAATGACTGCGATTAATTAGGGAGGGGCTTCGTTTGCCTACAATCTCGATTGTTTACAGCTTTGTCTGCACACAACACATTACACACAGCGCATTGCACATATAATCATATTGCAAACATAAAATAAGAAAACTATTAACGCTTTGCTATCTGTCATCATGTTGATAACATTAAAAAAATAATTATTGGAAATAATAAAAAATAAATTAATTTATTAATTTATATATATATATATAT